CTCTACCACTGAGCCACACCCAGCCCCACACTGAGGGATTCTAGGCAGGGGCTCTACCATTGAGCCACACCCCAGCCCCTCTCTGGGGGATTCTAGGCAGGGGCTCTACCACTGAGCCACACCCCAGCCCCTCACTGGGGATTCTAGGCAGGTGCTCTACCACTGAGCCACACCCAGCCCCACACTGGGGGATTCTAGGCAGGGGCTCTACCACTGAGCCACATCCCAGCCCCTCACTGGGGGATTCTAGGCAGGGGCTCTACCACTGAGCTATACCCCAGCCCCTCACTGGGATTCTAGGCAAGTTCTTTAATAAAGTTAAAAACTTTTAAATTAATTAAAATAAAGCATGAGGGGTATGTGGACAAGTATAGGAAGGCTAGGCATGGTGGCACACAGCCGTTAGCACAAAAGAGGTCGAGACAGGAGGATCAGCAACACGGCAGCCATGATGCTCAGTAAAGTGTTTGTGCGCACACAAGTACCAGGATTTGATCCTTAGAACCCATGTAAAAAAGTTGGGCCTGGTGGCATGTCCTTGTAGGTCATATGGTGGCAGACAGATCCCCAGGGCTGCACTGCCCATAAGGCCTGGTCTACTCAGTGAGCTCTGAACTGGAGAAAAACCATGACTCGGGAGACAATGTGGATTGTGTTGGAGAAAGATCATGTGACCCATGACCCACACACACGTGTGCACACATACCACCCTCCACAAAAGGCCAAATACATTTTTTAGAAATAAGTGAGGCTGAGTTTCATGTCTGGATCAAGTTTATTCAGTATTACAGTGCCGGCACTGGCGGGAACAGCAGTGACTGTCGCAAACACAAAACAGTTTTCCTGGAGGCTTCCAACCTTCCAAACATCATTACATCTACCTTGGAGAGCATCCTGGGGATGTGGGAGGCACCAGTCAGCATCCCCATGCACCCTCGCTCCTTTCCACTCAACAGAGACCCACCACAGTGACCGCCTGAAGGCTTTCAAGATCAGGAAAGTCATTCAATGTCAGAGAATTCACACTGGGGAAAAGCCCTATGCTAGCGAAGGTGTGTCAATCAATCCCTCTCCCTAGTACTTCGGAGCTAATTAGACAGCCGGGATTGTGTAGCAGACAGAGACCCTGGAGGATAATGGGCAGTGAAGAGCCTTTGTCAGAATCCTAACCTACAGACTGTGCCAGCTACTTCATGTCAGACACTATCAGCTAAGTCATCTGAACCCTAAATCAGTCACAACTAAGGGCTATGACAATGCCCTTAGGAGAAGCTGGCAGGGGTGTGTGTTCAGCGTGGCTGTTTGCTTGGAGAGGAAGCTGCAAGAGGAATTGGCCTGCAGGGATGGCCCTGGGCTTCTCATCAGAGAATGCACAGGAATGAAATGGCACCCATAAAGGTTGGTGGGGTGGGGCTTAACCACATCACCTCATGGCATGAAGCCCTCGTGTAAAGAAGCAAGGAAAGCTGAAGCTTCCCTTTATTGGACTGAAGAGAATACAAAGCTGTGATCTCTATAGGGAGGCTTCCTGGGTTTGGGAGTGGGGGAGACTTTGGGTTCCAAGTGTCAGCAATAGCTTGGTGAGTCTGTTACAGTCTTGAGGCAAATCTATAATCCCAGTGACTCAGCAGGCTAAGCAGGAGAAAGGATGTGAGTGAGTCTAAGGCCAGCCTGGGCTACAGAGTGAGATTCAGGCCAGCCTAGGCAACTCAATAAGAGCTTGTCTCAAAATCAAAAGTCAAAAGAGGCTTAGCAGTAGAGCCCCTGCCTAGAATCCCCCAGTGAGGGGCCAGGGCATGGCTCAGTGAGAGAAAACTTTCCAGAATGTGTGAGGTCCAAGGTTCAATCTCTGGTACTATCTATACAAAAAATTATCGGGGAGGGGGACACATTTAAACATTTCTTTTTTGCCTTTTCACTCCCAGCCCAAGCTTTTGCTCCTTTTCTGCCTCATAGGAGCTTTTTTTCCCTCTGTGTGACTCACCTTCTCTGTCCCTTTTACAAGCTGAGATCCACTTGGCTGGTTTTAGTCTATTCTCATCGAGCGAATGAAGTCTACACTAGACAACTGTGAGCTACTGGCCTCAGCATTTGGCTCCATACACACCCTGAGGGCTGGTGTCAGTCTATGTCACAGCTTCTCACTGATGCCCCAGAGAGAGAGCAGCTCTTGCTAGAGTCTCCTTGTAACAGGGCAATGGGTGTTTGTCAGCTTCAAATCAGGCACCAGAAGCCTAGCCCTTTCACTTAGAGAGCACAGTTTCAAGGGGGAGGAGCCAGGCCTTGAATCCAGCTTCTCCAAAGATCTTGCTCTCCTGTCTCCACTCCCAAGGGGTAGGATTACAAGCCCATACAGCCATGCCTAGTTTATGCGGTGCTGGGGATCAAAGTCAGGGCTTTGTGCCAGCTAGGCAAGCACTCTGCCAACCGAACCACACCCCCAGCCTCCCCATCTCCCAGGGCTTAGCTGCGTGAAAGGGATGCAGGTTGGTGGCTTGCACTTCTGGCTCCTGCCTTCATCACTTGAACAAAAGGTAGAAGAAAAAAAGGGAGCGAGAGAGAAGAGGTGAGGAGTGAAGATGGCATACGCCCGAGCATAGAGAAGGGCAGCAGGCACCGGTTAGCACTGTTCCTCCCAAGAGCACTCGGGCTGGCTCCTGACCATGGCCTTTGCACCTGCTGGCTCCAGGTGCCACAAACTGCTCCTGAGCTCCTGTGCACTGCTAACAACAGCCAGCTGTAGATACCGGCACTGCCTTCAGAGGTCACTCACCCGATCTATTCTGACTTCTCACTCTTTAGGCTCTGGGTCTCAGGCACTAACACCCACTACTGCCCCCCCCCCCCAGTGTCTTTTTTTTTCTTCTAAAAAGTTATGCCTCAGCCCTGTCTGAGAAGACTTGGGCTCATGCATATGGAAATTTCCAGAACTATTTATCCTTCCTGGTCTTGTCCAGTAAGCCTGAAGGGTTATGACTGATCGCGGAGGTTGGTTTTTTCCTGTCGATTTTCTACCATCTGAGCCGGATTTCTCCCAACATTAGGAAGAAAAGCAGCTGGGGTTGTTTCCTCCGCTCAGAGAGGCCTACAGAGCAGCAATGAGGGGCAGGGAGGCCGCGAAGTTCTGTGAAGAGCTGAGGAACGTTCCAGGCCACAGGGGCGGCACGGGACTCAGGGGACGGCAGTCTCCTAAGGCAGGCAGGTGTGATGGCTCAACAGTGTCGTCAGGAACCACAGCTTCCTTCTCTCATCTTATCCTGGTCTCCCCGTAAGTCTATCAGCAGAACTGAATCGCACGGCCACTTCTAAGTCAATCAAGAGCAAAAGCAAACAACACGAGCTTGCTCCAGTGACACAGACAGGCGAGGATGGGCCTGGTGGGGCACAGGGCAGTGAGGCGGGCGGCTAACTAGTCATGGCCGGCTCTGAGCGTTCTCTCCTTTTCCTTTGTTCCACAGGAAGTGGATCTTCCCCATATCACAGACTTGTTTCCTATTTCCTCACTAACTTTCTCCATTGTGATTGTGGCCAGAACATTAGCCCATCAAAGTCCTACTGACCAGCATAACATCTTGTTACATACTGTCCATGAGTCAGGTTTCAGGTTCAGATTCCAAAAAAAAAAATCTAACCGGCCTGACTGGATTTCCTTCCATTTTTCAGTCAAATGACTTTAAAAGTTGCTGGCTAGCCTGCATTAGATTCTGGTCCAAAGAAGAGAACTCATGCACAGAGGCAGAATCTTTTCGTATATGACTGCCTTAGGTGGCACTGGCTAGAGAGAGGCCAGGTAAAGTGGAGTGCAGTGGAGAGGGATGGTCCTAGCGTGGGCTCGGACAGCCCAGACAGCACAAGAGGAAGAGAGTGGACACCTGCCCGCCAAAGCCCTTTCCGGCACCCCAGCCCCAGGTGATATCACAGGGAGAAGATGAACCCAAAGGGAAGACATAGCAGAGGCTATGGACACAGAGCCCTACCTGGACCGTGTCCATGATCTCCAGACAATCCAGGGAGATCCCAGTGGAGCAAAGATCAACCCTAACAATGCCTGATTTGTAGAGTCGAGGGCATAACCGGAGGCTTCTGAATCTGCCCCAACTCAAGAGTCCTTCAGTTTCCACCCAGATCAGATGAGTTAGTGTCTGCTGCTGGTTGGGAGCTTGTGCCTCTCAATGGGGAGCAGATGGTTTTGCAAAGGATTGGGCAGGTTTGGGTAGGCTGAAGATGAGATTGTAGAAACAGGCCAGAGTCCTGGAAGTGGGCTACTTATCCCAGTGAATGAAACGGAAACTCCTGCAACCAACACGGGGACTGTCCGGGCAGTCACCGGGCTCCTTTACCCGGGAGCTGCGAGGCTTTGAGAGATGAGTAAAGCCCCACGCCTGTTTCCCTCAGCTGTCACATGGCCCAAAGACTTAGTCCTAGGAATTGTTGCATGGGACTCCCAGGTCACTGTGAGCACTAAAAGGTTAGGTACTGTTAAGAGCGTCTCTCACTCTATCTACAGTGCTTGGAAACAAAGAGAAGAAAAAGAGCATCTCTCACATACTTCTGAGGCAGAGGCAGGTGGATCTCTGTGAGTTCGAGGCCAGCCTGGTCTACAGAGCTAGTTCCAGAACAGGCTTCAAAGCTACAGAGAAAACTCTGTCTCGAAAAAAAAAAAAAAAAAAAAAAAAACAAATAAAACCACAAAACAATAGTGTATCGGGGGAGTCAGGGACCTCAAGAATGGCTGGGAGCTCTGCTGGTGATCTCAGAATGGGAAATAGGGTGAAGGGGAATCCAGCATGACACTTTAATTATTCTTCAGAAAGGATTTCAAGGCCGGGCGGTGGTGGCACACGCCTTTAATCCCAGCACTCAGGAGGCAGAGGCAGGCGGATCACTGGGAGTTCGAGGCCAGCCTGGTCTACAAGAGTTAGTTCCAGGACAGGCACCAAAGCTACAGAGAAACCCTCTCTCAAAAAACCAAAAAAAAAAAAAAAAAAAAGGATTTCGAGTATGTCACCCAGGCAGGCCTCAAGCACACTCTGAGGCCAAGCATGACTTGGAACTCTTGAGAATGCCTTGTTGCTGAGACACCTGATGTGTGTGTACTGCCAAGACCAGCCAGGGAGCATCTGTGGGCATCTGTCTTGAGCAGGTTCCTAGAAGCCCCGTTTAGGGCAGACTTCAGAGCTCCCTGGGGTGCCCGGGTTAGGGTACACTCTCACTTCAGGCCTTCGTTCCTTCAAGAGCCGAGCTTAAATTTCCTCTACTTCTGTCTCCTCCTCTACCCACTTGTGCCATTTCTTATTGAAGTGGCCTTGGGACAGTCATTATAGATGCTACTAGAGAGAATGTTCTAGAGACTTAGTACAAATTACATTTTAGCTGTGTGCTTCCAGGACAGGAGCATGGAATACTGGAGACAAACGGGTCTGTGTGTGGCCTGTCCACATGTCCCCAAGTGCTGGGATTACAAACATGCACCACCACAGCTGGCTATGGAACACGAGAAAAGGAGCCCAGGGCTTTGGGCCCACTAAGCGTGCACCCTACCAATTGAACTACATCCCCATCCCCTAAGGTACTCGCTTTAAAAGGTTAGAAGGGAGCAGTGGCCATACAAGAACTTGGGTTTAGAGACATTTGCCACACACACCCCCCCCTTTTCATCCATGACACAAGAGATTTTTTACAACCAACAAGGATAGACCCTGATCTCAGCTGTATACTGAAAGGAAGGGAGTGGCCTTCACACGGGGATGGAGGCCGGGCAGCTCAGTGCCTCCCTTCACTTAATTCTCTGTGTCTTACTGCCATAAACAGTCTGCCTTGGTGTCATAGAAGCCGAGCCAGCTTCCCCCACAAGCTGGCCATGGTAAACAGACACACCAGCGCCCGTTCTTGTTTGCGCATCAAGTGTCCTTTCCCAAGGTCATTCCTTTGTCTGAGCACAAGGCCAACTAAGCAGTGAAGTCTCCTTGATGGAGGGGAGGCAACGGGGCTCCTGTCACTTCCTGGGGGATCTTCAGGGCCTGGTGAGTGGGGTGGTAGGGTGGAAGAGGAAGCAATAAGAAATTCCCTTCCTCCCCATGTGACCTTGAAGGGAAAGAAAGGAAACCATCTGGAAAAGGCGAGCTTCATCTTCCAAGGCCAATGGCCAGAGCCCTCTCCTTATGCCACAGTGTCCATAGCGACACAGCTACCAAGCCCCAGCACCATCCTTGAAGGCTCCATGGAGAACGCAAAGGACAGATGTGGCTCACCTTCAAATGTTAGATCTGTCAGAGAAGGAAAAAATGCGGTATAAATAGATCATAGATGAAGATAACATTTGCAGACATCAAATTCTCACAGAAATGTGTCAGTGTGTAGAGCCCACAGAATCTCCAGAGGGCTTCCGAGAAGAGGGGGTCTTTGGGCAGGCTTGAAAGATGGGCAGAGAGCCAGGAATCTGCCTCTTACTTGTAATTCCATTGTTCAATAGGCTGAGACAGGGGAATGGCAAGTTTGAGGCTAGCCTGCGTTATATAGGTGGTCCTGGGCTGTATGAGAAAGGTAGCTGAATAAATCAGAGCAAGCAAGCCACACTCCTCCACGGTCTCTGCCTCAGTTCCTGCCTCCACGTTCCTGCTTTGCACTCCGGCCCTGGCTTCCCTATATGATGGATTGGACCTTGGGACAAATCAGTGGACTCTTCTCCCTAGGTCGCCTTTGGTCGCTGTATTCACAACAGGCACAGAAAACATGCGAAGACAAAGCTTAGCCCCTCTGGGCCTTGCTCTGCCCAGATGTTTGGATGGGACGTAGTAGCTAACCAACACATTTGCGTGGCTGAGCGGGCCTTTGAATGCCGTGAATAAGGGAAATTTTCCATTCACTCTAATTCACACTGGAGAGACTCCCGATGAATGCAGAAAGGGAGGACTGGATGGAGGCGAGCAGCCATAGAGAGGGGAAAATCACAGGGCGGATACAGCACCTGAATAGGCTCGAACCCACGTCAGAGCGCATCACTCCAGAGAGCGTCACAGGAGACAGCGCACCCTCTACATGTGGAAGCGGAGCTCCAAGGGGGCCCCACCGCTCCCAGAAGCGTCAGATGAGCCATTTGGAGTGAAAGCCTTTGAATGGAATGAATCGGGGGTGGTGACGGTTCAGGGGACAAATCAAGCCTTATTCATCAGCTGAAGGTTCCGGCTGGAAAGAGGGTGGATGCTTGTCATCAGTGACGAAGCTCCGGGGGCGCTCCCATCTCCCAAGACAAGGATAGCAAAGATGGGGCCCAAAGAGGACAGTGATGGAGCTTGGAGCACTCACAACCTAAAGTGCTCACACAGGAGGAGACGGTCTGATTTAGAAGGTGGTCTCGACAAGTCTCATGCTCTTAGCAGCGGATGTGACAGAGAGCCAGGTGTGGAGGTGGAGGCTAGCAATCCCAGCACTTGGGAGACCGAGGCAAAAGGATCAAGGGTTTGAGAGGGGCTGGTGAGGTGGCTCAGTGTGTAAAGGTGCTCGCGGCCAAAGCTGGGTCCTACTAGGAGGAAGGTGAGACAATAAGATGTCTTCTGACCTTCACACTCACACAGCAGATGTGCCCCCCCTCCTAATAAGTGACTGTAATTTTAAAAAAAGTAATATAAGTAAATAAATGAATTAATTTCAAGAGCGTTTGGGCCAAGCCAGAGCTACACAGAGACACTGCCTCAAAATTGGGAAGGAACCTGAGTTAGTGGAGCGCTTGCCTGGCAGGCACAGGGTCCTGGGTACCCTCGGCAGCACCACACAAACTTGCCTAAGGATGCGCTCCTGTGATGGCAGTGTTTGGGAGGCAGATCTGGAGTTCAAGGTCATCTGTGCCCACACAGAGTGAGGCCCGGAAGGCTGGCAGGCAGGGAGGGGGCGAGGGCAGAACCAGAAAGCCTGGGTTTAAAGGAGTAATGATGCCTTTGGAGCAGAGATCTCCAGATGACTCATGGTTCTGCACAGGCGAGCTCTGGGGGGCCATGAAGGGTCCCCCACCCCTGCATAGAAGAGGAGAATCCAGGCTCCATGGTTCCGGAAGCTCCCTTCTCCCTCTGGGCTACATGCTTTCTTCATAGCTCCTCTCTCCTCTTTATCCCTCAGCAAGATTCAGGCCCTTTCCTTAGTCCCTTGACTAGGCCTTGTGAGGGCTCCTAACACCCCAAACTCCAGGTACTCTGCCCGCCAGTAATAGGCAGGAAGGCCTGACTGCCCGTATTTTCCATAAACTGTCGCTATGGCTGGCTCACGTGTGACAAAATCTTCAGGGCACCTGTCCTATCTAGTACTGGTGCTGGGATACAAGACAAGGAAGAAGGCAGTGTCAGCTACAAGCTGCGGGGTGGCCTTGGGCTTCTAGGGGTACCTGTGTCCAGAGGTTGCAGAAAGAGATGTAGAAGAGAGAACTGCCTGAGCAGGGAGGGAGAACTGTGGCCCCATGGCTGCCCTCTGTGTGTTAGGCTGAGCTTATTCCTCACGGCATCCCTGCAAGCTCAGCCACGGACTGTGTGCCTGTCAGAGATAAAGCTGGGTGTGGCAATGCGGGCTGTAATCCCAGCACTGGGTGCGACTGAGGTAGCAAGATTTTGAGCTCTAGGCCAGTCTGAGCTACAGTCAACAGTGAGCTGTGGCTCAGGTCTGTAATCCTAGCACTCAGGACTGTAGGGGAGGAGGTTGGGGGTTCAAGGCCGGCATCAGCTATGCCATGAGTTTGAGGCTAGCATGGGTTATATGAGACGCTGTTTCAAAAACACAACAACCAGACAAAAACAAAAACAGATACAGAACCCAAACCAAAGAAAGAAAGTAAGTACGCGTGTAATCATAAGTGGCAGAGCCCACACCGGAGGCTGCTGAAGCCACACCTGTCTTAGACCAAACCACATTGCCTCTCTAACACCAAAGGGGACAAGGGGCACAACTGGTGACATCACCTGCTACTGGGGATGTATTTTTAGAGACTCCAGGGGCACTAGGGAGCCCTGTGAACCGGAAGGTCAAGGGTGAAACAGACACGCACCCACTTAGCGCACCTCCCCCGACCCCCACAGGGGACCCGGGCAATGTGGAGCTGGGGAAATAGACAGGTCCGACCCCAGGCTCTCCATTGACTCCCGTCCTAGAAGAGGGGCAGGCAGTCCAGCTTGCTAAGTGTTTTGAAAGCAGATTGCTGGGCCCCAGGGGAGCTTGGGGGGGGGATTACATCATCTGACACCACAGAGTCCGCAGAGACTTCTGGGAAGGTGCTCTCTGGTGAAATGCAGGGAGAGAACCTTCCAGAAGTGCCTGGCCAGAGCTGACATTGCAGGACAAGTGTGGAGGCTGCTGAAGGAAGCCTAAGGTGATCAGGAAATAGAGGAAGTTGGGTATGGCCGTGCAAGCCTGGAACCCCGGAACGGCAGAGGCTGGGGCAGAAGGCTAGCAAACTCCATGCCAGAGCTTTGGAGTGAGACCCTGTCTTAAACACAAACCACCACCACCACCAACAACAACAACCAAACCCAAAAGGCAAAGAAAGCAAACAGGGGAGGGGTCTGTCTCAGTGACCCAGTGACCTTGCTAAGGTGTTCCGATCCGACTTAATCCTGGGAGCGAGTGGGGAGGCGGTAGAGGGCGTGAGGTTGAGGGGAGCAGTCTGAGTGGCTCTGTAACCTATTGTTAAAGCCCAAGGCTGCAAAATGAAGAAAGAGCTGTCAAATGCAGGCAACATCAGTTAGCGAGTGAATTCTCTTCTTCCTCACAAGCCAAGGTTTCGTGTGTGTGTGTGTGTGTGTGCACGCATACAACCTTGGGGATTGTTCTCAGACATGAAGCACTTTTCTCTCCTCTCTCTAGATTATTTACTTATTTTATGTGTGTTGGTGTTTTGCTTGCATGTGTGTCTGAGTGAGGGTGTCAGAACCCTGGGACTAGAGAGTTATAGACCGTGTGAGCTGCTATGTGGGTACTGAGACTTGAACCCAGTTCCTCTGGAAGAGCAGCCAAGTGTGCTTAACCACTGAGCCATCTCTCCAGCTCCAAGCTTGTCTCTTTTAAGGCAGGGTCCCTAAGTGGTCAGCCATTAGGCTAGGCTCACTCATGCCCCACCTCTCTGTTGTTGGCATTACAAGCGTGAGGCCCCAGGCTGGCCTTTTGTGTGGTTTCTGGGGAGTCAATGCAGGGTTTTGTGCTTGTAAGACAAGCAGTTTATCAGTGGAGCTAGCCAGTCAACAAGAATATCCTCCCCGTCCCAACAGGATCTCACCAAGTACCCTCCCTGTCTGGCTGTCCCAAAACTCTCTATGCTGGTCAGGATTGCCTCAAACCCACAGAGATCCACCTGCCTCTGCCACTGCATAAGATCCGATCCCAACTCCCAAGGTTTCTTATAGGTACAGAGAGCAGAGTGAGCCAGGAGTGGCTCGGGGTGACCTGGTTAAAACAATCTCTGTTTTCTGTCCCTGGAGAAGGCTCCGAAGGGCACGAAGATCAGGTTCCTGGGCTGCTGTCTGCAGCAGGCTCTGTAAAGGACATCCATGGACACATATCGCCCCCTTGTGTCTGCATGCAGTATCGCCTAGAAGAGCAAGCTGGCCTGCTGATAAACAGGCCCAGCGTTTCTAGGGCCAGCCGCCCATGCCCGCGGTGCACCGAGCTAGCGGCCTGAGATTCCACTTTTAAAGTCATCAGCGAGGAAAGCGTACAAACACACATGCGCATGCTCATCTAGTCAGCAAGTGTCCCAAGGGTATTCAGGTGTCACCCATGGTTTTCACCATCGCAAACTAGACTTTCCCCACATTATTATTTTTACTTTAGTTATTAATAGGAAAACTGTAATACAAAGTTTTAAAAAGTAGCAGAAGTGGGCTGGTGAGATGGCTCAGTGGGTAAATGTGTTTGGTGTGTGAGTCTGACCACCTAAATTTGATTCCTGGGACCTATAGCAGAAAGAGCCAACTCCCAAAAGCTGGCCTGTGCAAGCCTGTAGAGACATGTATGCACACACACACACACACACACACACACACACACACACAGACCACCACCACCACCACCACCACCACTACCACCACCACCAATCCCCAAACACACAAAGGTCAGAAGCAGTAGAACAGTGACTCAGGGGGCTCCTAAGTGGAAGCCAGCTGCTGAGATTGAGCTGATGCTGGCCCGTAAACCACCCTTCCGGCAGATTCCAGCTCCCTTCCTTCCAAATTGGGCTAGGATTCCAGATGAATGGCTGCCCTCTGTGTTCCTTGGGTCCTTTCAGCTCACACACCTGCCAAGGGAAGGAGCTGCCTTTCCTGTGTGGTCCTCGACTTCCCTCCAAAGCATCACATGTAAAACATCTTTCCTTCAAAGTTACAGGGACGTTTATACAAACCATAAAAATGTGCTGTTGCGGCCGGGTGGTGGCGGCGCACACCTTTAATCCCAGTACTTGGGAGGCAGAGGCAGGTGGATCTCTGTGAGTCTGAATTTGCTAGCCTGGTCTAGCTACAGTGTAAATTTCAGGACAGCTGGGGCTACATAGAAAACTATGTCTCAAGGGGGGGGGGGTTGTTAGAAAGTGCATGTGTGTGTGTGTGTGTGTGTGTGTGTGAGAGAGAGAGAGAGGGGGGAGGGAGGGAGGGGACTGGCGAAATGGCTCAGGTGCCGCACAAGTCTGTGGACCTGGGTTTGACCCCTGACATCTATATCAAAAAGCCCAGCAAGGTGGTGTGCACACATCTGTAAGTCCCAGAGAGAAGATGAGAGGTTGAAGACAGGAAGGAAGCTTGGCCGGAAGTTCAGGGGCCACTGAGCCTGGGGCCACAAGCATGGAAGGGGCAAGAGACACCCCCAACAAGAAGGAAGTTGTCTTCTGACTTCCACATGTGCTACGGCACATGTGTGTCTTTATCTTTCTCTCAGATACATACACACAAACACACACACTAAATCAAATTAAATCAAATAACATGTAAATGAGCTAAATCGAAACAAGCTTGCTCGAGGGCAGCTGTATACTCAAACGTAAGTCATTAAGGTGAGTCAGAGCCGAGCCACCTCTGTGGGGACCTGGAGCCAAGGCCAGGCTTCCTTGCCCAACCCTTGCTAGTACCTATCAGCACGAGTTTGTCATTCAGAGGGCATCATCTTGGATCAGAGGGCTTGGGTCAATCTTCCATCAGTGTGGACCTGCTGTGGCACAGGGCCAGGTATAGTAAAAGGGACAGGGCACTGGCTTCTGATGCTTGGAGTCCTGTCATCTGAGACAGGCTGACCTTGGGAGGTCTCTGGTCTGTGGCATCTTCCATGGAGCCAGACCATTAGGGGAAATCCTTGACTTCCGGCTTTCTTTTCTCACTATGTGGTCCAGACAGGCCTCGAACCTGTGGTCCTCCTACTTCAGCCTCCTGGGTGCCATGGTTACAGTGTGTACCATCGTGCCTGGCTCCCAGCAATTTTCCTTTTCTCTTCTTCTCCCCCAACCTATATTTCCCTTCTTTTGGACACCGAGTCTTGCTATGTAGCTCTGGCTGGCCTAAAACTCACTATGAAGACCAGGCTGGCCTTGAACTCACAGAGATCCACCTTCCTGTGCCTCCCTGGTACTGGGACTGCAACATGAAACCACATGCAGCTCTCAGCAAGGAGGCACCAGCTATGGTCTCTCCATGGGTCTCTCTGAAAGCTCCCTGTGGAGTGGGTGCAGCTTCGAGTCAAGCCTATGATAAGCCTAGAATTGCCCGCAGATTCCAAGTGGGGTGTTTCAGGGACTGACCACGAACACAGAGTCTGCTCAGTCCCTGCCGATCACTCTCCAGGGTGGTTTCCTATCAAGTCCAACAGCGGAAGGGAGAAAGGCCTTCTCACAATACGTGGCATTGCTGTTTGATCTGAGATGTCCTCCGAAGGCTCACGTCTGAATGCGTGGTCCCCGGCTCGTGCTGCTCTTTTTCTTTTTATGTGTATTTATGTAGGTAGGCAGGACACGTGATGGCCAGTGTCTGAGAAAGCCAGAAGAGGCTGTCAGAGTGGTTGTGAGCTGCCCAATGTGGGTGCTAGGAACCAAACTCAGTCTTTTCTAAGAGCAGGAAGTGCTCTAATGGCGGGGCAGGCTCTCCTGGCTCTAGTGAAGGCTGTGGAGGCCTGGCTGGCGGAAGCAGGTCACTGTGGGCAGGCCTCTGAGGACTGTACCCACTTCTGGCTCGTCCACCTTCGGTATCCACCGCCACAGGAGTCTCTGCCACACACTGCTGCTACCCTGAGCTCTGCCCTGCCTTCCTGCTGTGATGGACTGAATCCTCCAGACCCTGCTTCTCGCCCTTCCTGATGCCACAACCCTTTGACGCAACAGTAAGATTGTTTCTTTGCTACTTCACAACTGTGATTTTGCTACTGTTATGAATCATAATGTAAATATCTGATATTCAGGGGATCTGATATGTGATCCCTATGAAAGGGCCCTTTGACATCATAAAGGTTGACCCACAGGTTGAGAACCACTGTCTTAAACTATGGGCCTAAATAAATTCTTCTTCCCTTTAGCTGTCTAACAAATTTTAAACTCTGTGTGTGTGTGTGTGTGTGTGTGTGTGTGTGTGCAGATCACACTGTGTGTCAAGTCCTTTGGTGCTGGACTTACAGGTGGTTGTAAGCCAACCAATGTGGGTGCTGGGACCCACACTGGGGTCCTCTGCGAGAGCAGCAAGTGCTTGTAACTGCTGAGTCGTCTCTCCAGTCCTGTCAGGTATTTTGGCCACTGGACAAGAAAAGTAATCCACACTCATGGCTCACCGCTTTCTCTTCCGGCCAGCGGAGAAGCGGCACCCTTGAAGACAGGGCTGTTTTCTTCTGACCACTACAGCCAAGCTGTCCATCAGAGCTTCCTGCTTAGCCAGACCTTTTCCCTCAGACCTTCTCATTATTTGGCACTAGGCACACACGTAACACCCACCACGGGCCTCTGCCTACATGCTTCTGACAGGAGCACGGGACTTACCTGGATGGCTCTTCCCTCTTCCGTCCTGTCTGAAGCCCCTTTCCCGGGAATGAAATGGCTTAGTTTTTCCTCCACGAGATCCTGAAGCCAGTGGAGGGTCCCTGAACGCGCTGTGGTATTGTTTGGCATGGGTGCTGCGCGGCTTCTCCAGAGGTTCTACTTGAGGTCCCTCGCGGGTAGCTTTCAGAAGGTTCCCAGTTTGAGGTGAACTCTTTGGTCTTAAAAACAGAGAACATTCAAATGAGATCTGTTACCTCAGGGTCCACGAATAAGTCCTTTCCCCTCTGGACCCACCGAGGAACTATGGAGTACAGTACAATAACGAAATGTAAATTGGTATAATTTTTTTTTGTTTATGTTTTGTTTTTTGAGACAGGGTTTCTTGGTAAAGCCTTGGCTGTCCTGGAACTCTCTCTGTAGATCAGGCTGGCCTCCAACTCAGAGATCCACCTGTCTCTGCTTCCTGAGTGCTGGGATTAAAGGCATGCACCACCACTATTGGTAAGTGTTATGATCTTAAGGAATTAGAGTTCTTGTTTGTTTGCTTGTTTGCTGGTTTGTGACAAGGTCTCCTGTAGCCCAGGCTGGCCTTAAACTCTGTATAGCCAAGAATGCTCCTTTTTTCTTTTTTTTGAAAGGCAGGGTTTTTCTCAGTAGCCCTGGCTGTCTTAGAATTCACTGTGCTGGCCTGGAAATCCTCCTGCCTCTGTCTTCTGAGTGCTGGGATTAAAGGCGTGTGCCATCACCACTCAGCACCAAGGATGCTTGTGAGCCTCCAACTCTCCTGCTTCTAACTCCCAAACACTAGGACTGCAGATGTGTACCTCCACAGCCAGTTTAAGTACTTGGGGGGGGGGGGGGTGGAAACCAGGGCTTTGCACACACTAGGTAAACACTCTAGCGCGTGAGCTATAGCCCCAGGCCTTAGTTATTTCATGATCCACCCATACTAGGCCACAGCCACAGCAAGAGATGAACACTTTTATTTTTGAAACAGTATTCCTATGTAGCCCTGGCTGGCTTAGACTTCTCTAGGAAGACCAGACTGGCCTTTTAACTCACAGAGATCTGCCTGCCTCTGCCTCTGAGTGCTGGGATTGAAGGCACAATCTACCATGCCTTAAAAAAAAAAACTTAAAAAATATTTGTGTGCGTTCGTGCCTGAATGTATGTATAGAGGCCAATGGAAGCAGGGCATCTCCCTGAACCTAGGGCTCATGATTCCTCAGCCTGGGAGGCAATCCTCCTGTCTCTGACCCCTTGGGGCTGGGGTTGCAGGCCCGAGTGTGACATGCAGCTTGTTGCGTAGGTGCTGACATCTGAACTACGCTCCTCATTACTGGGTAATAGAAACTCTTAACCACTCGGTTATCTTTTCAGGCCCTTTTTTCTTTTCCCTCCACCCCGGGTCCTCCTACCTCAGTTTCACCACACCCGGCTGAGTATCAGAGCCGGTTATAAACTACGAGGATCTCAGTGAGCTTGCGACTCCCTTCCATTCTCTTTCTAGGTTCATCTGGGTTTGTTTGTTTGTTTTTTTTTTTTTCCCCTGGGAAAGCTCACCAGCTACTGTTTCACACCGCTGGGGTGGGGTGAGGAAGGAGGAGGTAGGAGCGGTTTGGTAACACTAATTTGACCACCAAGTGGAGGGTGTGACTGACAGCTGCGTGGGGCACGTGAAGGGGTGCTGATTAATGACGCCCCAGGGCAGAGTCCTGCCGGCCAGGCAGGTAGCAGCTGCAGTTATGAGACGGGTGGAGGCTGTCCAGAGCTTGGGAGGACTTCAGGGGCAGCTGTAGGGAGAGACCGGGGCAACTGCGGGAAGAAGATAAGGGCAGGAGCGGGAGGGAGGCTGCGCTTGAGGCTGTGGCTGGGCAAAGAGCAAGCACATAAGACTGAGCTGAGTGGGTGACTAACACCTGTGACCCCAAGCTTCAGGATCTGAGGCAGAAGGACCACAGTTTGGGGTCAGCCTCGTCTATAAAGCGAAGCCCTGTTTAGACACACACTTACACACAGAGGAACCAAAAGAACTTCCATGTATAGCATGCTGTAATTTAGAAAATCCTTTTAAACTTACTATTTATTTCATATATCGTCTGGGCATCAAGATCAAACAAAAGGCTTTATGTGTGTTAGGCAGGAGCTCTACCACTGAGCCACACCCCAGCCCTTCACTGGGGGATTCTAGGCAGCTGCTCTCCCACTGAGCCACACCCCAGCCCCTCACTGGGGGATTCTAGGCAGGGGCTCTCCCCCTGAGCCACACCCCAGCCTCTCATTGGGGGATTCTAGGCAGGTGCTCTGCCACTGAGTCACACCCCAGCCCCTCACTGGGGGATTCTAGGCAGGCACTCTCTACCACTGAGCCACACCCCAGCCCCTCACTGGGGATTCTAGGCAGGGGTTCTACCACTGAGCCACACCTCAGCCCCTTATTGGCGGATTTTAGGCAGGTGACCACCGTGGCACATTCCCAATCCTCATCTGTTATTTTATCTGATATTCATATACAGAGAAACAGAGGCTCAGAGAAGCGAAAGGGCTTGCCCCAGCCTGTACTGCTGCACACTGGGAGCCAAAGCCTGACTCTAGCTAATTTTGGTGACTGCACGTCATTGGGCTGGGCAGGTGGAGAACGGCTATATGACACTAAAATCATTGAGAAGCTAGAGATTTCCACACACAAACGCTGGTCCAGGGATGGAGAAGGGTCCTGACCACCACTCACTGCTGAACCACGGATTGGGGCTGAGAGGGCGTGGCTAAAGAGGCTCTCAGCTACTTTTGTCTCAGGTAGAGTTGCATTACATAGCTCAGACTGACCTCAAACTCCCACCAATGCCCCTGCCTCTGCCTCCCAAGATGCTGGGACCACAGGTGTGAAACCCCACACCCAGCTGGGTCTACGGAGTTCATCTGCAGCCCCTCTTTCCCCGGAACAGGCTCTCCCATGGATTCCCGAGAAAGGAACTGGATAGCCCAGGGGGACACCACCTGGACACTGAGTCCAGGAGGAATGCCACTGTCCACACACCTGCTCAGGAGCCACACTGCCACATGCAAGTTGCCTAGAAAGTCATCAGCTGACAATGGGGAAGAGCCCAACAGTGGTCCTAAAGCAACTCTTCAGGGGATGGAGGACACAAGCCAGTTAAAGATAGCAGACAGGAGGACCCCGCGCTCCCTCGGGGGTCATAAGGTAGCGTGAGGACCACACCAGGCTCCATGTAGATCTCAAAGCTGAGGAGTGGGGTTCGACAGCTTTTTAGCCCTGGCAAGGAGGCACAGTTGCTGCAGGCCCAGTTCTTACCAGGGCTCCATGAACACGTCTGAAGCTGGGGATGCAGATCTTGCTTCCATTGCAGAGAGGTCGTGTGTTCCAGAAGCTTCCTGAACTGTGGACTGTGAAGAATAACAGAACATCAGGAACCCTAAAAGAAAGACGCCTCATGGGGTGGGGCTATGTAGCCCGTGTTTTCCCTCCCTTCCCCTCCTCTTTCTTCTCTCTCCACTTCTCAGGATTTACCTAGGTAAGTCCTTGACTTTCAGGATTTTTGTCTGTCTTATATAGCCCAGGTTGGCCTTGAACTCACTATGTAGCCGAGGCTAACCTCGAACTCCTGATCCTCTTGCCTCCACTTTCTAAGTGTTGGGATTACAGGCAGACACCATCCCACTTAGTGTGGTGCTGTGGACCGAACCCAGAGCTTTGGTGTGCTCGGCGAGCATTCTCACTGCACGTGCCCAGCCCTACTTCCTCTTCTAATGAAATTTGTTAGATCCCAAATACAGACCAGTCTGGCATCAGACACAGAGAGCTGCCTGCTGGGAGTGTGTGCCACAATGCTTGGCATGGTTTTAGTTCTCTCTCAGAGGGTCTTTACACATAGCCTTTCACTATGATGGTCAGGCTGGTCTTGAACTTGTACCTCTGTTTCTGGAATAATGGGTGAGCCACTGTGCCCCACCCCCACACCTCTTCCCACTCAGTGTATTTTTCTTTATTAAGAATTTTCTTTTTATTATTTTATTTATGCATATGAGTATATGTTTGTGTGAGTATATGTGCATATATGGAGTCCAGAAGAAGGCATCAGATCCCCTGGAACCGAAGTGGGTCCTGGGATCCGAACTCAGATATTCTGTGAGAACAGCATGCACTCCTAAACTTCTCAGCCATTTCTCCGCCCCTAGGTTTTTTTTTTTTTTTTTTTGTTGTTGTTTTTTTAAACAGCTTTCTGGCTAGAAAATCAATGTTTATTTACTACAAATACCCACTACTAAGCAATAACAACTTAGAGCCTTATGAAAATGTGCCAAGACAGCACTACTAGAACACTTAAGTGTGTGGAAGCCCCCGGATTCGCCTGCACTGGAGAATGTATAAAGGAAATGCCCTTCGTGATCCTTAGCTCTCAGAGATAGTCTAAATTACAATTATTCAAATTTTAATAAGTTTTGAAAAACTAGAAAGCTTTAAAGGCTATGTAATCTGCATATACGTAAGGGTGTGTGGGGGGGGGGGGGTGCGGGGGCGGTCCAGTCAAGCGGCTGAGTCAGAACGCAGGCCCAAATGCTGGCTCTCGCTTTTACTTACGCGCAGGTGCCTGTGGAGGCCAGAGGTCAACCTTGGGTGTCCTTCTGTCCCTGTCCCTGTTTTTGAGACCTGGTCTCTATAGCCTAGTGATCCCTGACTTGGCGGGGGTGACTGGCCGTCCAGCTTTTGGGGTCTGCCTGTCTTGCTTCCCCAGCATGGTACTGGGATTACAGGCATGCTCCGTTCTGCTTGACTTCGTTAGGTGGTCCTGGCTATGCAGAGACCATATTTCAAACAAACAACAACAACCTCCGAAAAACCAAGATAGGTGGGGAGATAGCTCAGCAGATAAATGTGATCCCTGCAAACCTCGACCCCTTGAGCTCAAGCCCCAAGACCCACATTTCAAGCCAATGGAAAGAATCAATCCGGATCCCAACAAGTTTTTTATGACCTCTACATGCTTTCCCCACATACTTAAAGAAGAAAAGAAAAAGCAACCCTCAAAACTTGTCATTTATTGGTATTGTGTGTGAGATATGCTCACGTATGTGTACATCTGCAGAGGACAGAGGAGGCTATCACTCGCAACCGTATTCCCTAGAAACAGGGTCCTTCTCTAAACCTGCAGCTAGACTAGGCTGGCGGCCCAAAAGCCCAGCGAGCCTCTGGTCTCTGACCCCACAGCGCTGGCGTCACTGATGGGTGTGTCCATGCCCAGGTTTTTGTTATTGTGCTATTCCAGGCAAAACGAAGGAACCTGAACGGTGAACCCGAGGCGCATCACCCGGGGTCTCAAGACCGGCGAGGTGACGAGCACGACACCCGGCTCAGGGCCCGGTTTCCCGCGCGTCCAACCCGGGTCTGGTCCCGATTTCCCGGCTGAAAATCCTCACCGTGGGAGGACGGTCCGAGCCGCAGGCAGCTGCGGAGCCGCGGTGCCGGCCGCAGACCCGCAGCTAACGGCTGCTGCTCGCGCCTAACTACATTTCCCAGAGCTCTCAGCGGCAACCCGGTGACCGCACGGGGCTCGCGACAGGAAATTCACTGGCTCCGCGGTCGTCGGTGGCCCGCATGGTGCTCTTTGGCAGATCTGTCACTAACCCTCATAGCTGCCACCCGTTCACGGGCTCGCCGCCACCGGACGCCCACGTTTGGTGCGGGAAGAGGCGGAGCAAAGACAAGCTACAGCCTGCAAGGAAACCAGAACTACAACTCCCAGAATGCTCAGGCATGGCTGATACCGCAGAGATCGACAATTCCCAGATTATTTGGGCTCCGAAAGGAGCAGAATCCAGATTAGAGGAACGAGGAAGGACAGAATACAATATTTGGTTTAAGCAATGCTGACGAGTACAGCGCCTCTTTGTCTTCCCACCGATACTCAGGGCTCAGAGCATAGGACGAACAGCCCTCTGGGAAGCATAAGCGAAACTGCCTCAGGAGCTATGGGAAATGTAGTCCATTGATCACTGGCCAAACATTTAAGGGGGATAAAAATTCTTCCTCTAGATTCTTGACACAGAATTTGCCTCAAAAGTACTTAGAGTAAGTAGTACTCATAAGTCCCTTTTTAATGTCAACCCTCGGGACTGTGTTTCAGACTCTGCCTTTCCTAAGTAGAGCATGTACCTGCCTAGCCTGTCTCCAGCTATCTTCTCAGGTTTATTGAGCACAACAGTAGCTCAAAGTAACCCGTGGATAATAGAATTAATAGTCGCACTTCATAGCGTCTATTATTGGTAAACAATTCAGTAGAAATAAATCTTAAAAATTGCTAATGGCTTATTTGTTCTGAGTTTCTCTTCAATCTAGATACCCTCTCCAGGCACAAGAAGACTGCAAGGCCTTGGTATGTGAACCCTCCTCCTGCTACACACTGAGAGACAATAATTAAGGAGAGTGGATTCTCAAGAGACAATGCCAACCATCTGACCAGAGGGGCAAGATGACCGATGGCCTTTTGCTTCCCCCCCCCCCTTATATAATATGCTGACTAGTCCAAGGGATCAGACGCCCTCTTCTGGCCTGTGTGTGCAGGTGCACGATGCCACAAGTCTGCCTCAACCAGGCTCAGGGGATCTTCATCTTAGTTTGCTAAACTGGCTAGCCAGCAAGCTACTGAGATGCTTCCTGGCTCTGCCCCCTTCCTCCTCCCCCGAGTGCCTCAGTGCCTGGCTTTTGTGTGAGTGCTGGGAATCCAAACTCTGCTCCTCACTTTACCTCTAAGCCGTCTCTCCGTACGTCCATCGATCGTGCATGCGTGAGACACATCAATTGGCTAACTGGCTGCCTGCACGTGCTGGGGATCTATCCATCTCTGAGATTGCACGAATCACCACCCTACCAGGTTGTTGTACGTGGAGGCTACGGGTCTGAACTCAGGTTCCCCTGCTCTCAGAGCAGATGCTGTACTGACTGGGCCATCTCCCCAACTCCAAAAGAGATATATACTGTTTTTGTTTTTTCAAGACAGGGTTTCTCTGTATAACAGCTCTTACTATCCTGGAACTCACTCTGTAGACCAGGCTTGCCTCGAACTCATAGTTCTGAACTCGAGTTTCTGCCTGCCTCTGTCTTCTGAGTTCTGGGATTAAAGGCGTGCGCCACCACAGCCAGGTTTTTTTTTTTTTTTTTTTTTTTTTTTTTTTTTTTTTAACTTTGTGTGCATTGTTGTGAAGGTATCAAATCCTTTGGCTGGAACTGGAGTTACAGACAACTGTAAGCTGCCATGTGGGTGTGGAGAACTGAATCCCGGTTCTCTGGAAGAGTAGCCAGTGTTCATACCCGCTGAGCCATCTCTCCAGCCCCCTGAAACAGGTTTCTAGGAATAGAAACTTAGCATGAAATTCAGACGAGGAGATTAGGCTTGTTTTGATTCCCACAGGTTTGGGTGTCTAGACTCTCCAAGTAGACCTGAACTGAAGAGTAAGTCTGCGCCGAGCCTTAGAAAAGGGGCCGGGGGGGGGGGCTTTCATAGTCCCAAGAAAGAACTGGACAGAGGCTGGAGCTTGGTAGGCAGAGTACTTGTCTAACACGAAGAAGCCCTGGGCTCCATCTGTGGCATCGTATCACCTGGGCATGGGAGCGCATGCCTGTAATCTTAGTATTTGGGAGGTGGAGGGGGAAGGAGCAGGAAATCAAGTTAGCCTTTGCTACATGGGGAGTTTGAGATCAGCTTGGGCTACACAGGACTCAAAAAAAAAATATCCAAAAGCCTGGATTAGAATGAACTGAGAGTGCAGAGTGGATAACAGATGTTTCTCACATCAGACACCAGGGGCTTTTTCATTCTGTGGTGGGAACAGGTGGCCTGCACACTGCCATTGCTGCAACTTCATCAGGAAAAAGGTTCCCGTCTTAACACACGGAGAGACAGGCAGTCACATCAGAACCACAGTCTCTTCTTCATATTAAAAGCAAGAATGCCTTCCCTGTGTGTGTGTGGCTACAGACTGAATTTAGGGCCTCTCTCATGTTACAGCTGAAGCTGTCCCCAGCCCCACACTGGGGGATTCTAGGCAGGTGCTCTCCCACTGAGCCACACCCCAGCCCCTCACTGGGGGATTCTAGGCAGGGGCTCTACCACTGAGCCACACCCCAGCCCCTCACTGGGGGATTCTAGGCAGGTGCTCTACCACTGAGCCACACCCCAGCCCCTCACTGGGGGATTCTAGGCAGGGGCTCTACCACTGAGCCACACCCCAGCCCCTCACTGAGGGATTCTAGGCAGGTGCTCTACCACTGAGCCACACCCTAGCCCCTCAATGGGGGATTCTAGGCAGGTGCTCTACCACTGAGCCACACCCCAGCCCCTCCCTCACTGGGGGATTCTAGGCAGGGGCTCTATCACTGAGCCACACCCCAGCCCCTCCCTCACTGGGGGATTCTAGGCAGGGGCTCTACCACTGAGCCACACCCCAGCCCCTCACTGGGGGATTCTTGGCAGGGGCTCTACCACTGAGCCACACCCCAGCCCCTCACTGGGGGATTCTTGGCAGGGGCTCTACCCTGAGCCACATCTTCCACCACCTTTTCATTCTGAGATGGCATCTCACGAAGTTGTCCAGGATGGCTTTGAATTTTCTCCATAGATCAGGTGCTGTGGAATAGTCCTTCTGTCTACTGTGTCACTATGATTGGTTTAATAAACAAGCTGACCAGCCAATAGCTGAACAGGATAGAGTTAGGTGGGAAAGCCAAACTGAGAAAGATGGGATGAGGAAGGGTGGAGTCAGGAGATGCCAGTCAATTGCCAAAGAAGCAGGAAGTGTAGAAGATGAGATAAGAAAGTATGAGCCACATGGCAAAACACAGATGAGAAATATGGGTTAATGTAGTTTAAGAGTTAGCTAGTAACAAGCCTGAGCTATCAATTGAGTGTTTATAATTAATATTAAGCCTCTGTGTAGGTTATTTGGGAAGCTGCTAGTGGCTTGGGAAAAATCTGTCAACAACCGGGCTGCCACGGACCAGCTCAGGGGAGCCACTCAGACCGTAGGAGAAGCAGGGTCCTGGTAACAGGAAGGCACAAGTTCGGTGAATGACAGACAAACACAACACACAAGAGAGTAGTTGGAATCTGCTGCAATTTTACTAAATTAATGTTTTCATTATATAGTATTCAAACAAAGAACAAATCAGAAGGTCATGTATCATTGGTTGGCACAGTATGAAAGCTTCTTTTAGTCACATCAGCGATATTTAAGAAAAGTATATTATCAGGAGCAGGTGTTAGACATAAAGCATTCTTAGAAGAAGAAATCTTGTCCTTGGGAATGTAAACCTCAGGCAAGTGGTTTCATCTTATGAATAGAAAGTTTCTGTCTCATTATCGTTATCATGACCCTTCCTCTTCCTAACCCTTTATTTCATCTAGTGACCAAATATACCTAATCAGTTCTCTGCACCTGTTGAAATATACTTTTTAGTACCTTCTTATGCAGCAGACATCATGGGGGTTGGGATCTAGCAAGCCTATCCATAAAGTTCAAAGTATAATATAACAAGTCTTTGTCCATCAACATTAACCCATCTATTCCCTTGCTCATCATACACCCCATGTATGACAAAGGTTCTGCTGTAGTCTTATACATTCCCATACTGTGCTTCCTTATCCCAGAGCTGTTCCTGAAGAGAATGATCCTTGTCTTGTATATATAAAGACTATCATTATTATGAAAGAGATTGTGCAAAGCTCATATCCCACATAGCCAGCTACTCGAGAAACCTGTCTATGCCCCAAGGGCGGCCAATACCAGGCTGTCTGCCATTGACCTCCAGGGAGCCTAGTCCCATAGGACACGTAGCTCCCGTCTGGTATAATGGCATATGTCATGTCATACAGACGACACTGGAGTTGGTGTGGCACCAGGCAACTCTGTTTTTTTTTTTTTTAACGTGTAAGAGTGTTTGTCTGCATGCATGGATGTGTATAGTATGCATGCAGTACCCGTAGAAACCAGAAGAGGGCATCAAACCCTCTGGAGTTGAAGCTACGGATGTCTGTAAGCTGCCAGCTGCCAAGGGGGTGCTGGTAAGGAAACCCAGGTCCTCTGCCAGAGCAGCCAGTGTGGCTGAGTCATCTCCAACCATTTTGTTTTGGTTTTTCTACGAGACCAAGGGATATCCTCCTGCCTCTGTGTGTACACATGAGCTTGCATACCTGCATCCACGTGTATATGCAACATACACATACACACACACAAAACATGGATCTGCGTGCCATGTGACCTGAAAAATATAGTGATCTCCAGGGACTTTGCCTGATCAATTTTAAGACATGGATGTTCAAATGACGATGTAAGCCAGGCACAGGTTTCTGTCCAATGGGCTGATGCTTGCTCTTTCTGGACCCCTTAAGGCCACTTTCTGCCTAGGTGCTTTTTCCCCACAGCTGACCCCAGTGGTGGCAGTGATTTCAGTTACTGTAACAAAATACCTGAGGTGACCTCTGAGAGAGAGAGAGAGAGAGAGAGAGAGAGAGAGCGCTCTGGCTTGTGGCCCCCCAGGTTTCAGTTGCGGTAGGTTGTGTATAGTCCTGTGGAAAGAGACACACCATGGTGGAAGCAGAATGGAGCAAATCTCCCTCCTTGTGGCCACAGAGAAGCATAGGAAAGACTGGCATTCCACGGTCCCCTCAAAGGCCGTGCTCCCCATGGCCTCCGATTAGGACTGACATCTCAGAGATGTCCACCTTCCATCGGCACCAGATCAATGATCAAGCTTCCAACACTTGGGCCTTTGGGCCATTTAAGGTTCCATGTGGTGGAATATTATTTTAACTAGGCAAAGATGTGTTACATTTGTTTATGCTGTGGAATATTACTTTAGTTATGTGAAGGTGTGTTTATATTTGTTTCTGCTGCATTTGTTTAATGATGTAAGATGTGTGCTAATTATGTAAAGATGTGTTACATTTGTTTATTATGTAAAGATGTGTTGCATTTGTTGCATCTTGCCTGCCCAAGGCACCTAATTGTTCTAATAAAAATCTGAATGGCCAATAGCTAGGCAGGAGAGGGATAGGCAGGGCTGGTGGGCAGGGAGAATAAGTAGAAACAGAAATCTAGGCTCGAGAGAGAAGAGAGAAAAGAAAGAGAGGGACACACCCTGGGCCAGAAGCCAGGCAGCGGCTAGCCAACCAGGTACGAGAAACAGTAAAAGAAAGATACACAGAAGGAAAAAACGGTAAGATGGTTAGGTGGTGGGGGTGGCGCACACCTTTAATCCCAGCACTTGGGAGGCAGAGGCAGGCGATCTCTGAGTTTGAGGCCAGCCTGGTCTACAGAGCGAGTTCCAGGACTGGCTCCAAAACTGTACAGAGAAATCCTGTCTTAGAAAAAAAAAAAGTAAGGTAAAAAGCCCTGAGGCAAAAACGTAGATGCTAGCAAGAAATGAGAGCTAAGATAAGGCCAAGCGTTCATAACTACTAAGTCTCCGCGGCTTGATTTGGGAGCTGGTTGGTGGCCCCAAAGAAAAAGCTTCATACAGTTCAAACGACAGCACTGTGGTGACTATTGCTTTACTAGTTCTGGTCCCTGAGGGCGACACTTAAAAATCCAGGCTCGTTGGAGGGAGGGAAGAGCAGAGGTCTGGGATCCAACCCTATCCCTGTCTGTCTTGCTGGGTCTCCTTGGACTACAGGGGGGATAGGGCCACAGACAGGAATGCGGGCAGCCACTAGAAGCCAGCAGCAGCCAGCAGCAGCCTTAGTGATGGTGGATGCCCTTAATCCCAGCACTAGGGAGGCAGAAGTTATCTGTGAGTTCATGACAAGCCTGGTCTAAAGAGTGAGTTCCAGGCCACCCAGGGCTACACAGAGAGTTGTCCCAAAGTCAGGCCCCCAAACAACTAAAGCAAACAAACAATAATTCTCTGAAATCATCGAGAGTGATTATGACGGGGGTTGGGGGGGGGTGCGGCTTGACTTGTACCCAGTAGGTATCAGTTTTGAACTTCTGACCTCTAGTGTTGAGAGTGGAGCCTTAAAATGAGAAGAGATCAAGGCAAGAATCATACTTTTTTATTTTCTGTGACCGTGTGTGTGCCCGAGGACACTTGCGAGCGTGCTGCGGGGTGTGCGTGTGGAGGTCAGAGGACAGTTTGAGGAGTTGGCTCTTTCCTGCCACCACATGGGTTCTGCAGATCAAGTTCGGGTCACGAGGCTTGGCAGCACACGCCATCACCTGCTGGGCCATCTCACCAGCCTTTTCTTGTCGACATGAGCAACGTTCCTTCAAGTTACCCAGAATGGTGACCGTGGTGAACGCTGGGACCCAATCCTGCTAGCCTGTCACACTCTCACCAGTGATCTATTTCATGCACATGGCGTCTGCTTGCTTAGAAAGGATCCAGTCTCGTGTAGCCCAGGTTAGCCTCGAAGTCCCGATTCTTCTCCTGCTTCTACTTTCTATGTACATGCCTCAGTGTGTGTGTGTGTGTGTGTGTGTGTGTGTGTGTGTGTATGAGCGTGTGCGCCATCAGAGCCCAAAGGTGATGAAAGATATCTTCCTTGATCCACTTTTCTTACTAAGTCGGGGTCTTGAACTGAACCCAAAGTTGGCTGATCCCAGCTTGTCCAGTCAGCCAATTTGCCTTGGGGGGGTCCTGTCTTTGCTTCTCCTGTACTGGGATTACAGCAAGTGGTCACACTTGCCTGACTTTGATGAGTTCCGAGACTCTAAATCCAGTCCTCATCACCTGCTCATGTGGCAAGTGGATTGATCACTCAGCCCACACCTTATATTTGAGACAGGATCTCTCATGGGCTTGAAGCTGACAGAACAGAATAGGCTGGCTGGCCAGCAGTGCCCAGTATCTGTGTCTCTGGCTCCCCAGTACATGCCACAATGCCCAGCATCTTTACACTTGGTTAGGGGATTGAACTTGGGTCCTCATGCTTGCAAGTCAAGCGCTCTACCAACTGAGCCATCTCCCTAACCCCTTGTATTTCTTTAAAAAGACACTTTGTATTGTTGATTTTTTTTCTTTTTCTAGAAATGGAACTGAAGGTCTCCTACAAGCTAAACAGTGATCCATTTCTAACCCACACCCCCAGTCCCTCGCTGGGGGACTCAAGCACATGTCCTACTGTGAAGCCACACAACTGGCCCAGTCCTTTGCTGAGCCCTTCCCTTAAAAAAAGACTTATTTGTGTATATTTGTGTTTGTGTGGTGTTCTGAAAGAGATGTCCCTCATAGCCTTGGGCATTTGAATACTTGCCTCCTAGTTGGTGGCACTGTTTGGGAGTTCTAGGGGGTGTGGCTTTGCTTGAGGAACTACGTCTCTAGAGGTGGGTTTGGGGGCCCACTCACTGTCTGCTCTCTCTGATGTATGTCTACAGTTCGATATGAGCCTCCGTTTCCTGTCCCTGCTGCCACGCCTCCCTGTCTTGACGGACTACTATCTCTCTGGAACCTGAAAGCCCACATAAACTCTTCTTAGAATTGCCCTGGTCATGGTGTGTTATCACAGCGGTGGAAAAGTAGCTAACACAGTCTGTGTGAGTGTGTGTGTGTGAGAGAGTGTATGCTGTGTGTGTGTGTGTGTGTGTGTGTGTGTGTGCCCATGGGGACCAGAAAAAGGCTGGATCTCCTGGAGCTAGAGTTACAGGCAAAGCTGCCCAATGTGGGATCCGAACTCAGGTCCTCAGCACTAGCAACAGTGCTCCTAACCACCAACCCGTGTTTCCAGCCCATTCCTTTTTAAAGTTCTATATAGTGCGATTGTGTTGTGTGTGTGTTTTTGTGTGTGTGTGGGGGGGTTGAATGGGGCGGAGCTCTCCTTCCACCTTGAAGTGGGATCTGGGGATTGAACTCAGGTTGTAAGGCTTGGCGGCAAGCGCACTCATCCACTGAGCCATCTCACTGGTCCCTGCTGTTGATTCCTTTATAGCACACAGCACTGCTGTCAAGTCCGGAAGCAGCAGCTCTAGCTGGGTTCTCTGTAAGAAACACCACATCCTTTTTGCTCTCAGGGACATCAGAGATCACATCATCTCTCCGCTCCCAGCCATTTCATTCCCTTAACCACCAACAAACAGCTCAACCTGAAAACAGCACCAAGAAGGTTGCTGGAAGGATGTGTTTATGGTGTGACAGCCGAGACAGAGAGGCAGGGTAGCTTCTTGTTTCTGGAGAGGGGTTGCAATAAGGGCTTCATCTATAGCCCAGGCTGGCCTTGAATTCTCAGCCCTCTTACCTCAGCCTCCCACGAGCTGGGATCACAGGCCTGTGCCACCATGCCTGACTCTTACTGGCACCTTCTAGCAGATAAGGAATGCGTCTATAGCCACAGGGAGAAGGGCATGTCAGCAGCTGGGTGGGGTGTCAGCTCTGCCTGGGGAAGTCAGCATCGTCTGGGAGGTGGTGGCACAGGGCACTAGGTGATGATGAGCATCTCCTCGCGGTCTCTGCTCTCTGACATGGAGTTGATGATGCTTTTTAAATACTTGATGAATTCCACTCGGACCTCCTCGGGGTCTTCCTCCAGGTTTGAGTGCACCAGCTTCAGCTTGTTCAGGGGGGGAGCTCCACAGGAGAAACAAGGCTAATTAATTAGGCTTCAAGGTCGAACAAGCTCTTTCTAGTACGTAACAACCCAGGCTACTGGAGTACCACTTTCTTCCACCCTCCCTCCCTGCTAGGTCTTGCAGTGTACCTAGGCATGCTTAGGACTTGGTCCTCCTGCTCAATCTTGCCAGTGCTGAGATTTCACGCATGTGCTAGCACACCTGTGACATGCTGAACTTTTACAAGCTTTAACCTGCTTGACACACAGGGAATGGCATTGGTGGCAGTGCACGGCTTTAAACCCAGCACTCGGGAGGCAAAGGCAGATGGATCTCTGTGAGTTGGCAGCCAGCCTGGTCTACAAAGTGAGTTCCAGGACAGCCAGGGCTACCAGAGAAACCCTGTCTCAAAAAGCAAACCAAACCTAACAAAAAGTTGAAACTGCCCCTTGGCAATAGGAAAGATACCCAAGTAGGTACTGGCAGTTCTTATTTTTGTCTTTTCTATGGTGCTTCAGAAGGAACCAGGAGCCTTGTACATATCAGACAGGTGCTCTGTAACAGAGCTGTTGCCTAATACATCACTGGGGGATTCTAGGCAGGTGCTCTACCACTGAGCCACACCCCAGCCCCTCACTGGGGGATTCTAGGCAGGTGCTCTACCACTGAGCCACATAGCCCCTCACTGGGGGATTCTAGGTAGGGTCTCTACCACTGAGCCACACCCCAGCCCCTCACTGGGGGATTCTAGGCAGGTGCTCTACCACTGAGCCACACCCCAGCCCTAACTGGGGATTCTAGGCAGGGGCTCTACCACTGAGCCACACCCCAGCCCTAACTGGGGATTCTAGGCAGGGGCTCTACCACTGAGTCACACCCCAGCCCCTCACTGGGGGATTCTAGGCAGGTGCTCTACCACTGAGTCACATCCCAGCCCCTCACTGGGGATTTGAGGCAAGCACCTTATGGCTAATGCATGCCTCTATGAAGACCTGGTATGTATGAGGTACATATGCATACATAGGCAGACACAAAACATAACTAAGGACAAAAAAATAAAATTAAAAAAATAAAGACCTAAGGTGAATGGCTTTCCTGAGAATGAGACTTAAGGTTGATCTATGATTTCCAAATAAACATAGAACTATGCCTTTGTGCATTTGTGCATGGGAGTGTGCACGCACGCACACCCCCCTCCCCCAGGAATGCTTGAAACAGTGGAGACAAAAGCAAGGAAAGAAGTCTAGGGTGCTTACACAAAGCCAGGCTGCCCTTGTCACCTCCAGAACCTGGTTTGTGGTGGGCCACGAGCATGCAGTGACTGTCTTGGAGGAACTGCTGCTGGACAAAGCAAGAATACCACATTTCGATTTCCTTTAGGTGGCTTGGGATATCAGCATTGAAGACAATCACCACTCCATGGGCATCCTTCATCAGGGCTGGCCAGCAGGACTCAAACCTGACAAGAGAGAAGGAAGTCAAGAGACAATGGTAGGACATCCTCGCTTCTCAATGTGGTGGTTGTTGTTGTTGTTATTATTATTATTATTATTGCTGCACTCTGGGCTTTACAGGTGTGCAACTGCTCTACCACTGAGCCACACCCCAGCCCCTCACTGGGGGATTCTAGGCAGGGGCTCTACCACTGAGCTATACCCCAGCCCCTCACTGGGGGATTCTAGGCAGGGGCTCTACCACTGAGCCACACCCCAGCCCCTCACTGGGGGATTCTAGGCAGGGGCTCTACCACTGAGCACCCAACCCCAACCCTACTTTTTGTCAGTCAGCTGTCGAAGCAGAGCTATGATAAAGAAAACCTACTTTGAGTCGCCACCGCAGTCCCAGAGCTCAAATTCACAGCCTGTGCCTTTGTTGTTGCTGGTGACATGTGGGTTCTCAAACTCTAGAATCCTGAAAATACAAAGAGGGCAGCAGGGCCTTCCTTAGGAAGCTGTGTTGGAACACGCACAGCTCCTGAGGTAGGGGATGCACGTGCTCCACAACTGCTCTAGATACAGAGACTGGACAGGCTCACCTCACACCTTGGGTTGGGTTGTATTCAGTGATGTCTGAAGATTCGGTCAGAAAGTTGGCCAACACTGTTTTGCCACTCTGTGAAAGTAAGAGCAAACGGAAATAAGCCACACAGGAGCCCTCGCCCGCCATGTACAGTGGCACACCCCCGTAACCCCAGCACTCAGGTGGCTGAGGCAGCGAGAGTGCCAGTACCAGGCTAGCCTGGGCTACATAGGGGGACCCTGAGGCCAGCCTGGGAATAGGTGTGGTGAAGTACTGGCCAAGACTCCTTGAGATCTCTAGGACACAGAGCTCGCTGTTGGAAAGAATGCTGCCCTGCCCTAGCGCAGTGGACAGAGCTTGGACTGGGACCAAGCAAGCCTTTCCGACAGTCTGGCTGTTAAGGTATGTTAAAGAAAACCTACTTTAGAGTAGGTTAACTTACCTGAGAACAGAAAACCAGAAACAAACAACCACCACACAAACCCAGGTAAGTGGGTGTCCCGCCACCCCTCCCCTGCCTCTCTCCACAGCTTTAGCCAATCAGTCTATGAGGTCACAAGGTCAGCAGTCTACTTCTTCTCATGTGTTACATAAGTAATCAACATTCCTATAAAAAGTCAACAGGACTGTAAGACAGCCTTTCTGAGCCCTCTACTCAAAGCAGGTTTCCACCCACCCTTCTGTCCATCCATTCAACCACCCACTAACTTCCTCCATCCACTCACAGATTGACTCAACCACCCACTCTCCCCAACTATCCACCTATCTCCCCAACTATCCACTCACCCTCTTGTCCATCCATGTACTCAGCTACTCACTCACACCACCCATCCATCCATCCACCCACCCACCCATCCATCCATCCATCCATCCACCCAATAACCCTTCCATCCATCCTTCTACCCATCTATTCAGACACCCACTCACCCTCTCACCCACCCACCCGTTCCCTCCTCAGAGCCATGGTCTGCTTTTCAGATCTTCTTTGCGTATTTGCACCGCCCACTGAACAAATACTGCAGAGGCCTCAATATAAAACAAATAAAATTATTCCTCAGAAGCCAGTGGCTTAAATCTGAGCGAGCCCTTGCAAAATTCCACAGGACAGGAGAAAGGAATGAAAAGGAAGACAAAAGGGAAGAAAGGGGGAGAGAAGGGTTGGAGAGGTGGTGAGAAGAGGCAGGAGGATTAGTAGGTCAGGTTCATTCTTGAGATCTTGTTTCAACAAACAAACAAGCAAACCCAAAAGCCATTATAAGAAAAACAGAGACAAGCAAAAAACCCAAAAAAGCCTCTCTGCCCTTAAACTCTGTTCTCTAAACCACTTGCTTTGAGGTAAGGACTTGTCATGTAGCCCAAGCTGGGTACCAACGGTCAATCTTCCTGCTTTGGCCTTCAAAATGATGAAATTACCACTGTCTATCGCCAAACCTAGATTTGTAACAAATCTTGCAACCTTTTTCCAAACTACAACTGTGCTCTCTTTTAAATTTAACACACACACACACACACACACACACACACACACGGTTTTACTATGTAGCCCTGGCTGGCCTAGAACACTATGTCAATCAGGCTGGCCCCCAGATCAGACTCACCTGTCTCTGCCTTCTCAGTGCTGGAATTAGACATGTACCATTATGCCCAGTCTGTGCATGTGTCTGCGCGTGTTGAGTGCCTGAGCTGTCACATCTCCTGGAACTGGAAGTTATGGGCAGTTGTGAGCCAGCTGGCATGGGAGCTTGTTGTGGAATATTAGCTTAAGATGCGTTACATTTATTTGAGTTGTGGAACATTTGCTTAACGATACAAAGGCGTGTTGCATTCTTTTATGTTGCATCTGTTTAATTCTGTGAAGCTGTGTTACTTTAGCTGCCTAAAACACCCGATTGGTCTAATAAAGAGCCGAATGGCCAATAGCTAGGCAGGAGAGGGACGGGGGAATGGTGGGCAGAGAAAATAAATAGGAGAAATCTAGGCTAGAAATGGATGCAAAAAGGGAGAGGAGTGAGAAAAGGTGGTGAGGAGGACTCCAGGGGCCAGCCACAAAGCCGGTCCCAGAGTGGGAAAGAAAGGCATACAGCATAAAGAAAGGTAAAAAGGGGGCTGGAGAGATGGCTCAGCAGTTAAGAGCATCGCCTGCTCTTCCAAAGGTCCTGAGTTCAATTCCCGGCAACCACATGGTGGCTCACAACCATCTGTAATGAGATCTGGTGCCCTCTTCTGGCCTTCAAGCATACACACAGACAGAAGATTGTATACATAATAAATAAAATAAAAAAAAAAAAGAAAGGTAAAAAGCCCAGCGGCAAAAGGTAGAAGAAGAGAAACAGGATAATGTAAGTTAGAAAAACAAGGCAAGCTAAGGCCGGGCAGTCATAAGTAAGAACGAGTCTCCATTTGTTTATTAGGGAGCTGGTGGTGGCCCCCAAAGAGTAAACAAACAAGCAAACAGCTACAGTGCTGGGGACCAAACGAAGATCCGTGCAAGAGAAGAGTTCTATGTGATCTTAACCCCAAACTTCTTTCCAGTCCTGGCTGTCATTTCTGCTGAGCCGCCTTCTCCTCCTCTCTGCCCCAAGCTAGCCTCAACAACCCTATGTAGCCCAGACTGCGTCAGAGTTGTGGCAATCTCCTGTCTTAGTCTCCTGCGTGCTGAGGTCTGCATCACAATGCACGGCTCAGTCCTTCCTAGATTTTGTGTGTGCTGAACTCTTCCCTAACTCGGGACTAGAATTTTTTTCTTTGACAAGTTTTATGTATCCCAGGCTGGCCTCAGACTTGTTATTGTAGCCAGGAGTGTGATCTTGAGCTCCCGATGGTGCTGCTCCCACCTTCCAAATACTGGAATCGAGGCGTGTGGCACCATGAAAGTTTTATGTGGTGCCGAGGATTGAACCCAGGGATTCCCGTATGCCAGGCAAACATTCTATCATCCAGTCACATTCCAGCCTCCTAATTTAAGATGAAGACCTCATCTTTGCCATATATTCACCGATTAATTCACAATGGTTCTCAGAGGTTCCACAGACCAATGTACAAAATGTGAATTCCTACATTCTTCCCAGAACTACTCAGGAACAATAACTAGGCTGTTTGAGGCATAGTGACACAGGCCTCTAGTCCCAGTACTTGGGAAGCTGAAGCAGGGGGGGGGGTCTTGAGTTCAAGGCCAGCCTGAACTACATTGTCATCAAATAACAAAACTTAACATAAGAAAACTTTCTGAGCTGGTACCCAGAGATTTGAGCTTTAATAAACCGGCTATTATATGAATAAACATATTCATCTTCTATTCTCTCTCTCTCTCTCTCTCTCTCTCTCTCTCTCTCACACACACACACACACATTTTGTTACTTTGAGACAGCATCTCACATTGCAGCCCAGAATGTCCCAGAACTCAACACGTAAGCCCAGGCTGTTCTTGAACTTGTGATGATCCTCCTCCCTTTGCCTCCTGAGTCTTGGTATTACAGGTATATGCCAATACACCTAGCTTCTTCTACAGTGAACTCATTTGCATGTTTAGTTTTGGCCCACCCGAGCTTTAATTTGGTGTATAGTGTGCATCGCCTATGTAGTAATTCTCTCATAATTAATAGCCACTTGCTCCAGGACCCTATATTGAAAAATCTAGTTTTCTCATCCCCTTGACAGATTCCTTTTGCTTCGAAGGTTCGAAGCGGGAGTCATGAGATGCCCCTCACTCCCGTTGGCCTTCAGACCTGGGTACCTCAGGATTTTCCTCCACTACTACGGTGGGGTGAACCGGATCAAGGCCTGGCAGCTCCGCAGGTCACGTAAGGCCAGCTGCAGCCCCCAGTGTGGACGCTTGTCCCAGTTGCACCTCCTGGAAAGAATCCTAGTTCTAGGAGTCTCCCGAACCCGGCCGGTCTCACCTCGCAGGGCCCCACGAAGAGAATCTTGGCCTTCAGCATCGCTGTCCGTTATCGAGAACCCGCGGAAGCCCACCGCCAAAGCACGCTGGATCCCGCCGCGTCAGCCAGAAGGGCTACACGCTCCGATTGGCTGATCGGTTTCCACGGCGACCGGGGGACAGCTGCGTAGAAACCCAGGAAACTCGGCCAGTTCCGGGGTCTGAAACAGTGGGTCTGCTATGGAAGCCGAGGAGGACCAAAAGAGAAAAGCAAAACTGGGTTTGCTGACTGCATTCTGGGCACTGGAAGGGGTTCCGGAATGATCAGGCTCTAATCTGCTTTATTTCTCCCGGTCACCGTGAACGTGAACGTTCCAGGGAGTCGGGAGCTGCTAAGCTGGACTGGAAGCCAGAACTGTGATTTTTTTTTCTTTCATACCTCGTACTGAGGGTTGAAACCCGGGGTCTCATTCATAGGTGTTAGCCTGCATTGCACCTCAGTCCAGCTCGTGCCGATTTTAAAAGGTGGTTGTTCTTTTCCGTGGGTGCTGGAGAGTGAACTCAGGTGTTCATGAAGTCTCGGCGAGCACTCTGCTACTGAACCACACTCCCAGTCCAACTCTCTCTGTAGACCAGGCTGGTCGAGCTCACAGAGATCACTTGCTTTGCCTCTGCCTCTCAAGTGCCAGCCAGCATTAAAGGCATGAGCCACCACTCTCGACCTCCAACGGTTTTTAAAAAATATTTATTTATTTATTATGTATACAATATTCTGTCTGTGTGTATGCCTGCAGGCCAGAAGAGGGGCACCAGACCTCATTCCAGATGGTTGTGAGCCACCATGTGGTTGCTGGGAATTGAACTCAGGACCTTTGGAAGAGCAGGCAATGCTCTTAACCACTGAGCCATCTCTCCAGGCCCCCTCCAACTCTTTTTTTAATTTAAAAAGTTATATTTCTTTCTTCGCGTGTGTGCGCGTGTTATCTCTCGCATCTACCATGACACACGTGAAGCTCAGAGGCCCACCCATGGGAGTAAGTTCTCTCCTCCCACCACACACGTTTTGGATGAAGTTCTGGTCTTCAGGTCAGATGGCACGGGCCTGTATCTGCTGAGCCACTTGCCAGCCCGCCATTGTTTATCTCGATGCTGAGATTGTTCTTGGCCATCCAGAGCTTCTCCAGCGCGCTGAGGTGAGCTGCCCAAACTGGGTGCTGGGAACCTAACTCAGGCTCTCTACAAGAGCAGCAAGTGCTTTTAACCACTGAGCCATCTCTCCAACCCCCTCCTTCATACTTTTTGGCACCGTTATATTAGTCCCAGGTGGCTCATTTTATTGCTTTTGCTTCATTGCAGCCATATATTACACACATTCTTTTGCATGCATTAAAAAAATTAAAAGTTTCAAAAGACCAGGGACCCTCAGAAAAGTTATTTATTCCTTTATACAACGTGGAAAAATTGAAGGGAACTTTATGCTCCCGACTCCAACTTTTGGCGTGAAACACTTAAGTCACTGGCCTGGGTTTTAGGAGAAATTGGTGCCAGGCCATTGGGCAAGGCTGGGTTCAGAGATGGAACTCCTCAGCTCCTTTCCCATCTTGAGCTTCCTTTTCGGATGAGAGACAAACTATAGAGTGCATTTCCCCTTGCCAAGTAGATTCCCGTAGAATTGCTCATGCACTGTGTGTGTGTGTATGTGTGTGTGTGTGCAAGCATGGAGCACATACGTGCTTGTCTCTCTGTCTTCCAGTGGAGCACAGAGGTTTGCTTTGTGTATCTTTATCACTCTCCACCTTCCTAGCTTGGCAGCTCCCTGGGATCCCATCGCCTCTTCCCCTTCCAGTGCTGCCACTAGGTTTTTATGTGGATGCCAGGGATTAGAACTCAGATCCTCGCGCTTGCATGGCAATCTCCTCAGTCCCTAGAGGCTTGTTTTTATTGGCCTAAGATAATCCCCAAAGTCAAGGTGTGCGGTTTAATTTAAGGAACCTCCCGGTTGCTCAGGTTTGGAATGTTTGCTCTGCAGCTGGTGGTGCTGTTTTATGAGGTTCTGCAAACATTAGGGGACAGAGCCTAGCTGAAGCAGAGAGGTCGCAGGGGCGGGCCCTGCAGGGTATATTATACCAGGTTACACTCCTGTCTTGCTTTCTGCTTCCTGGCCACTGTGTGTGGACTGAATTGCCACCATGATAGACTGAACTCTTTGAGACAAAATTCTCCCCCCCCCCGTAAGTTGTGTAGTCTGGGCACTATAACATGACATACATGCAACTAACACACAGTATAAGGGGTCTGTGGCTAAGTTGGTAGCAGTAAGACAGAACAACAGGCTAAGAGCCCAGCCACCTTTCCTCTCTCCCTTCTCTGTGTGTACATGAATGTGTATGCACATGCTTGTGTGTGCCCATGAAGGTACATATACATGTGTGTTTGTGCACATGCATGTATATATACAGTCTACAGAGCTAGGGGGTACATATCTGGTGTTTCCTGTAACTTTCCACCTTTTGTTTGGTTTTGAGACAGGGTTTCTTTTTTTAATTTTATTAATTTTTATTGAGCCCCACATTTTTCTCTGCTCCCCTCCCTGCCTCTCCCCTCCCCTTCAATCCTCTCTCAAGGTCCCCATGCTCCCAATTTACTCAGAAGATCTGAGATAGGGATTCTTTGTGTAGCCTTAGCTGTCCTGGAGCTCGCTCTGTAGACCATGTTGGTCTCGAACTCACAGAAATCCACCTGCCTCTGTCTCTACAGGTTGGGATTGAAGGTATGTGCCACCACCGCCTGGCACTCTCCACCATTTTTAAAAAAGATCTTTTGATGTTTATTTTATGTGTATGGATGGATGTCTTGCCTGCATGCATGTCTGTGCACTGTTTGCATGCGTTACCCGAGGAGGCCGGAAAGGCATCCGATCTCCTTGGAACTGGAGTTGACTGTTGACTGGCGGGAGCTGCCATGCAGGTGCTGGGAATCAAATCCCAGTTAAGAGCCAATGCTCTTACCCTTGAGTCAACCCTCCAGTCCCTTCCCTTTAAGTTTTGAGACAGAATCTCTCACTGAACATGAATTTCACCAGGTCAGCTGATCATCAAGCTCCAGGTGTCTCCTGTGCCGCCTCCCCAGGCCTGAGACAATGGATGCTTGCCCTATGCTTTTGCATGGCTTCTAGGAACAAACTCAAGTTCTCACGTTTGTGTGATACGCACTTACTCACTGAGCCACACCCCAATCTTCCCATCCCCCCCTTTATGTGCAAAGGTGCCCTGTTTCTTTTGTGTGTGGAAATGGCTTACCTCTTTTCTGCATCAGGCTTGGTCCACAGCCCAGCATGGGGGTTTGTTTATCACACTGGGAAGAAGTTGCTGTCTTCCATCCTTTAACATTCTAGAAAAAGCCAAGCACGATGTGCAAGCCTGGGTAATCCTGGCACTAAGGGGTAGAGGCAGGAGGATCGGGAGTTCAAGGTCAACCTAGGCTGCACAAGCCTCATTAATAGGTTTTCTGTAACTTGATAATAGGTTTCTTTGCTGATGCAGTAAGCCAGATCAAGCCAAATTGAGAAAAGCAAAAGAACAGGTTTATTTGAGTAAAGCAACTCCCGGGTGAGTCCTCCAGCCCCAGAGATCAGGCTGGAGAAGTCACACACCTGAACTAAAGCAGGAAGCTTATGTAGGCGAGGGGTTGATGGCACAAGCTGGGTTTGAGCCCAAGTATGGTCAAACACTGACAGATTTAGGTGGGGTCTTGCATTGCTGGCAGCTTCAGGGGAGGAGCTGCCACCACTGCCAAGAATGCAGAACTGGACATCTTGGTGCCTCTTCTTTGGAGATTCTCTGAGAGGATAGGATTTGCAGAGAGAGAGAGAGAGAGAGAGAAATGGGAATTTCTGGTTCCGGCTGGACACTCAACTCAAACACCTCCCTCCCACCAAACAAACAAGAGGCTGTGGGGATGGCTCAGAGTGAAAATTTCGTCACACATGCAGGAGAACCTGAGTTTGAATCCTTAGCACTCACGTAAAATGTCAGGGGTGACAGCAAGCACCCCTGTAATCCTACTGCTTGGGAGGCAGAAGGAGCCAATCCCCGGAGCTAATGGCCATCCAATCTTGCTGAAGCAGTGAGCTCCAGGTTCACCGAGAGACGCTGCCTCAACAAATAAGGCAGAGGAGCTGGAGAGACGGCTCAGCAGCTAAGAGTGCTTTGCTGCTCTTGCAAGACGACCAGAGTTTGGTTCCGAATGCCTGCTTAGGGTGTCTCCCAACTGCTTATAATTCCAGTTTCAGAGGTTTCAACCCTCCTTTCTGTCCTGCTTAGGTACCTGCACCCACATGCATGCATGCGTGTGTGTGTGTGTGTGTGTGTGTGTGTGTGTGTGAACATTGCCTTAGTCTGCTTTCTATCGCTGAGATAAAACCTGGGTCCAAACTAAGGTGGGATAGGAAAAGGGTTTATCTAAACTGTTCTATTGATAAAAACTCGGGAGTCAGATATTGGGGTAAAAACCTGATAGATCAAAAAAGCAGGGGTCCAGGGGGCTGGGGAAATGGCTCAGTGGTTAAGAGCATTGCCTGCTCTTCCAAAGGTCCTGAGTTCAATTCCCGGCAACCACATGGTGGCTCACAACCATCTGTAATGATCTCTGGTGCCCTCTTCACAGAATATTGTATACATAATAAACAAATTTTTAAAAAGGAAATTTAAAAAAAAAGCAGGGGTCTGGAGAGATAGTTCAGTGGTGAAGAGCACTGGCTCCTCTTCCAGAGGACCTGACCTCAATGCCCAGCAGCCACATGGCAGCTCACAACCATCTCTAATGGGACCTGATGCCCTCTCCTGGGGCCTGCAGGTATGCATGCTGAGCACTCACACATGAAATAAATAAATAAAAAGAAAGCAGGAAAGAATGACCAACCGACACTCTCTCCACATTTTCAAGACTGAAAAAGCCCTTGAATCTTTCTAAGACCCTCCCTACTCCTTCCTGTGCCTCTCCACTGTATCTTGGGTCCTCCAAAATGTCTGTGACTATTTCCGGTCAGCTTCGTCACCAACTCTGCCCCTGATTCAAGGTTCTTGGAGCGTGGCAGTGCAACGGGTCTGAAGCCATGGCAGGAACTTGAAGCCAGGAACAGAGACAGAGGGCATGGACGAACTTCTGACTTTCTCCCTTGG